CAGACAACCTCTCGTCAATATGCGTTTTTTGCATTGCATAACTGCAAAAAACGCATAAAAATGTAAATTAGAAGGAAGTCGAAAAAGAATTACAAAATCCGTAAAATACTCAGGCTCATCTATACTCAGATGCAAGCCTTCGTTTTAAAATTACGGTCTTCACGATGCGCTATCAGTTTAGTGGAACAGCTGACTGTAAGTTTTTCACAGACACCAGATCCGCCCTCTACATATATTTATTCTTCCCTTGCACCCTCCTTCCACTCACCTCCCCCGCACCCTCTCCCACTCCCCAATGGGGCCTACGCGAGGGAGAGCCCAGTTCTTGGCTGGAAAACTGATATACGACATCCACCAGTTGACCACAAATTATCTACACTTTCTAAGCACAGCGACTCCATAATGACTGACCAGTCGATTGTGCGGGAGCAGTAGAATTGGTCCCGCCATATCCGCTGGAAAGCATATCCATACGTCGGCGCATCATCATATCAGCGCGACGATTCTGCGATCTGCGTTGCTCTTGCAGCTTCTGACGAATATTCAAGCAGAACGGTACCTAAAACGACAAAACAAAACTAGTAATACCAGAAATGGTCAGATAATTATTATGAGGATCCCATGCCAGTGATCTTATTGGGATTTGCCCACGAATCGAGTACAGCTATAGCAGGCTCCTCGATTCTACGCTGCATATCTCCTGTAGGTACTCATCGTTCGTTACGCACCACTCCTTCTAAAACCCCTTCCCTCTCGAACGAACAATTACTTCCTCGTATTCACTGATAAGAAACATTACTGTTTTTCCATAGGATTTTGGTTTCGATGGTGAGCATCGCAAAACTGGAGAGAGTTTGTCTACTTGAATTCTGATTACGAAAAGATATTCCAAGCACCCATGCTCAGACCATCTTTCCAATTCAACCCGAAAAGGCCATTTCAAGATAAACCGTGAAAAATTTTGCCCGTATGAAATCATTCTGCCTCACGTTCCTCCCAATCAGCACACGGATTGGAGTGGAAAAAAGTGATATTTCTCAAACAGTTTTTTACTCCCTAAATGGCCCCCATACAATTTCCCATAAAGTTTTGGCTCTCACACAAGCTTTTTATGGCTCCCGTACGCATTTTGGACCATCCACTTCTACGATTCCGCATTCAAACGACCGCTACTTATCATTCCACCAGGCCTTTCACGAGCCCATAGAATAAACTTTTGTAGTTTTATGTCGAGATCCGAGCTGTTATGTGGCGACATTCTTTTTTACAGTTCACTGCATGATATCTGTAAGCACCTTTTGGGGGAAAGGCCGGGATGCAAGACGGAGGAGAAAGGAAAAACTGCAAATTCATGACAAAATAGCCCACCTGGCAGGAGATACCGTTGCAGTGTTTTGCATGGTAGCAACACAGGGCGATGAGCTGCTTGCAGACCGGGCAGTTTGCATTCTGTCGTTTCTTGCATACCTTGGTATGCTGCACAACACGTTTCATCTTATGACATGTTGAGCGGCGACAGTTCGCATCGCGACACTGACAGGCATGCACCAGCGATTGGATGCAGCGCTGCAAGCGCAAATTTAGCCGTACAACAAACAAATCGGATGTATTACAAATGACAGAATGCGAAAATCGAATTTTCATCATATCCGAACCCACTCAATTATTTCAAGAAAACTAGACCAGTAAGGGGGAAAAAAGGAGGGAATTCGCGAAAACTATGAGAAGTGAACAGAAAATATCTGACTGGCGAAACCATGGCAGAAACAGAGCGAAGCTAAATGAGAACGGAAAGAGACCATTCAATTTTAACCGAACCTACGAGGCTGAGAATGAGAGTACGCAATTTAACGATTTGGAAGATTTTATTTGGGAGATCTAAATGGCGATTCCGGTGTTTTCATTAATTATCAAAGTTTGATTGTGTTGCTCTCCATGATGGCGGATCAGCAAGCTGCATATATTAAACACACAGACGATTTAAGGCCCCCCTCCTCTTTCAGTCTCCTGACCAGGGATATTCACTGTTTGTATCTTTAAAATTTTTAC